AGATCTTTAATATTAATCTTAAAAATGATCCTGCCGCAAAAACTGTAGTTAGCAGACTTGCAAATTTATATCGATGTTTCGTGGAAAGCCAATGAGTAACCTCTCCATCTTTATACATACATAACATCACGCCTTTTATCCCCGAAGGGGTAGGCAGAGTTGCACATTACGGCTCTTAATGCCACTGTACAATATGGCACCCACTTTTCACTATTTATGTCATAAGTCCCATGTAATAGGGGGTGAGCCTTTTGCCATATAAAGAGCACAATCCCAGCCACAACCCAGTAATCCTATCGCCCAACTGGGAATCGAACCCGAGACCCCTTGCCTGGCAGTCACACTTGCAACCACTCGGCCAACGTGGCAGTCTTTATGCAATATCGATTATTTTACATTTCACAGGAAGGCCCAAGTCCTAATTGCCTGGGATACATAGAAGCCAAACTTAATATACAGGAGAAAGCGAGACTGTTGGATCGGCTCAACAATCGGAGGAACGTGGTGGCCATGGGGGGGATGCGAGGGTTCCCTTCTGCTGGAAACATGCTCAAACTGGTACTATGATCCTGTTATATAGTATAATTATTTAATATGGAAAACCTTACAACGACTAGATCAAGTAATAAACGTAACAAATATATAAATTAAAATCAGTCTTTAATAAAGTATGGTTTCCTCAATGTTTCTCTAGTGTTTTGAATCTGGAGAAGTTGTAACAGGTAGACATCTTCATTCGCAATCTTGTTGTTTGATAGCGTTGGGTTGAGGAGCTGGCTCGTGAAGCCCAGCGCTGGGCAGACCAGTGTCGTCCGCCGCGCATCGTCGAAGAACACGACGCTTGTCGTGATCTATGTAAGTTTTACAACATTATCATTCTACGAATATATCTGATCTTGTAACGAATCAATGGTAGCACCCATTTTCGGGCCTTTTCACCAATTTCGCGGAATGCCTTTCGGCATATAATATGACTAACACTGTATACGATTTCCGTAAACCACAAAAGTACACACTAACCTTTTGAGGACGTCTCATATAACGTGGGGTTGAAAACATCTCAGACGCACTTTGCGCGCATTCAATAATCTTTTATAATCTGGCTACGGAACCAGAGACCAACGAGTAGTGCAAACGCTTGCCGATATACTATATAGCTATGCCAATGTATTTATAATAACTATCGTGAGATATACTAAATTAACTAAAATCGCGGGTAACCGCGCAGACGCGCGAGGCGACCGCACACGCTGCTCATGAGGAAGAATCCCAATTTGGGTCGAAACTAGTAGAGATTTTCTCAGTTAATTCACCAGAGTAACCCATGTTGTTACTTAATTTATGCCAATGAGTAGATT